CATCCATCCATCCATCCATCCATCCATCCATCCATCCATCCATCCATCCATCCATCCATCCATCCATCCATCCATCCATCCATCCATCCATCCATTTTCCTTCAGGCTTATCCCTGCTGGGGTCGTGAGAAATGCTGGTGCCTATCTCCAGCTGTCAATGGGTGAGAGGCGGGGTACACCCTGGGCAGGTCGGCAGTCTATCCCAGGGCAACACAGAGACACATAGGAAAAACAACCATTCCCACACACGCTCACACATAAGGAGAATTTAGAGAAGCCAATTTACCTAACAGTCATGTTTTTGGACTGTGGGAGGAAGCCAGAGTACCCATAGAGAACCCATGCATGCACAGGGAGAACATGCAAACTCCATGCAAAAAGACCCCAGGCCAGGAATCAAACCTTTTGCTGCAAGGCAGAAGTGCTAGGCACTGAGTTACAGCCCATTATGACATCCAAGTTACAGAATATTTGTATGGAAACTGTAGAAATGTGAGTATGAATGGGGTACTCTATGAAACGATCTGTTGGTTTCCAAAGATCTTCACAGAGATAAATACTAGTATAAAAAGGTTCCCCTGATTACCATTCTATATAAATGTGACCTGTGTAAACTGCTCCACACTGAAACTGTATCTTCGGGGTTCCTGTTCTCATTTAACACCATGCTTTCCGTTATGTTATATAAACCCAGCACTTTGTACTTTCCTTCACACAACAATGAACACATCAGGAGCAAAAGTAGTTTCAGTCTGTTGCCTGAGGGGCTTTCAGCACACTTTAGACTAGGGGAGGAGTGATGCCACGCTAACAACGAGTTATGATTGTCCCAAAACTTTCATGTCATCTATGATGTTTTGACAAATAACACAAACGCCATTCATGTAGAAATTAGTACAATTTTTTTACACCAAAGGAAACTGAAATGCTTTATTTGCAGTGCTTTTTGAGAAGATATGCTATTTTTTCACTTAGTATCATTCTTTGTTTTCTTATCAGCCTTTCTTTCTGTCAGAATGTCTTATTTTTCATGAAATAAAAAAATCTAGAGAACCAACACATTACTGAGTCATTTATAACTTGAGCTTTAAATAGCTAAATCAAAGGTCAGAGCTGCAAAAAATGTTGGCTTCAATTGCTTACTCTGTTCCCTTCTTTTAATTATTCTTTCTCATGTTTATGGAGCTACAACAAATGAGTCATTGCACCAGGACTCCACTCCATCACTTTGACCACAAATTGGCAAACCTGCATTTTGACTTCCCACCTATCTAAACATTTTGCTGACAACACCCTGTCGTTTATATATATATATATATATATATATATATATATATATATATATATATATATATATATATATATATATATATATATAAAAAACGGGCTAGAAAGAAGAAAAGTTTGGTTAAAATGTCAATGAATGAATATTTTAATAGCCTAGAAAGCTTTAAGAACCTCAAAACTATCTCGCATAATAACATACTAATACTACTAATGTTAGTGTGAAGCAGATTGAACCCTCATCCTTATTATTAACAAGTTTTAAAGACCCATAACTATTATTGGCCTGGATGTTCTAGTGCACCGCGTCTTATCTGTTATCCATGTCTTGGCTCATGAACGCTGTCTGGGCTGAAGGACGAGATAAACTTGTGATTGCTTGGTCGTAATGTGTACATTAACATACATTTGACATGTGTTCTAAATAGGATTTTAACCAGAGGTGCAAAATAAAAAACTACAAATACTTTGTTACCTTACTTACGTAGACATTTTGGCTAGCTATACTTTACTTGAGTAATTATTTTTTACTCTTACATTTTCTTGCAATTATCTCTTTCTACTACTTACATTTTAAAAACAGACTTGTTAGTTTTGCTTCATTTAAGCTAATTTTCATTATGGCCTGTTGGTATTTAAAAAAAAAAAGAACCATCAATCCAAATAATTTGTTTCATCCAGACAATTTCTTTGTGGTTGGACTCAATACTGCCCTGCGATGGACTGACCACCTGTCCCGGGTGTACCCCGCCTCAGTAGACAGCTGGAGCTAGGCACCAGCACCCCTCGCGACCTAGCAGGGATAATGCGTGGACTCCTTGTTGTTTGCCACATACCAAAATACACAGTTTTTCAATATAATGCACATTTAAATATGAAAAATACCACTAGTTATGAAACTAAGAAAATTCTGTATAAGGAAATTATCATCCAGAATAGTAGAAAAATGTTCCTTTAATAGGGCAGACCAGTAACCAGTATAAAGTTTTAAAGCATCTCTCCTTAAAGGTGTAGTGAAGGATTTTTGTGAATTTTAAAGAAAAAATGCACATGCATCACCCAGTAACCGCCCCGAGAGGGAATGACTATTAAATGTTTGCAAGAGCATGCACAAGCCCATTTCTCCTGGTGCACGCTCTGTTTAAAAGTTGCTGTTTGCATCGCTTATACAAGCTTACTTTATAAAAGAAGATTTGCAATATTTCAACTATGTCAGACTCACCACCGGTAAGTGAAAATAGGGATGAGCACGTAGGATGGCCTTACGTAAACATATCACCAGAATGATTGACTGTTAGGAGGACCACTTATTTTGATGATCCACTCGGAAAAAAAACATCCTCCACTATACCTTTAAAAAAAATTTCCTGCATTACTTTTATACTTTAAATAGTTTTTAAAATGGTACTTTTACACTTTTACTTTATTAAAAGCTTAAATTGATACTCTAACTTCTACAAAAGTGTTTTTAAACCGTAGGATTCATACTTTCACTTGAGTAATAAACATTAATACTTTTGACAAATCTGGTTTTAATATACTGTTAAATACATTGTAAGATTGGTAGTTTACAAAAAACAAAATGTATAGACAAAAACCATTATTAGGATTTTATTTTAAAGATCAATGAGCTGAAAAGGAAATTATACACAGCTTAGCTTTTTGTAAATTCCTTTGTTTTTTACATGTCAGTCTAAAAAGTGTGTTGATTAAAAAATGTTAGTTTTACAATCACTTTTGCTGCAACCACAGCTTGAAGTCTTCTGAAGAGGAACATATTTGATCATTCTTTGGGTGAAATAGCTCAAGCTAAGTCAGATTGGATTACTTTGAAGCTTTCGCTATAGATTTGGATTTTGGTCTGGCAGTCCTAAAACATTTGCATGTTTTGATCTAAGTAATCAAACTGCTTCTCTTTCTCTGAAGAGGAAAGATTTTGCTTGCTGTCTTCCCTAAATGGATTTTGGCAAACCGCTGAGGGAACTTCTTCTGGATTTCTTCCAGCTATGATTTTCTGTTTGCAACTCTTCCATGAAGATCATACTTTTGGAATGCATGATTACTATTTGTCATCGGAGCAGATCCTCCTACCTGAGCTGTGGATATAATCTTTGCAGCTTATCCAGACTTAACCCTGACTTCTTGCTTATATCATTGATGAATACTTTCCTTGCATTGAATGTCTTGTCAGGTTTGTAGTTTTTAAAGCAGCTGGACATTGAGGGAAAATAATTTTATAATCATACTGTTTTAAACTGCTTCTGGTGGTCCCTTGGTTTTCATGATATTGCTTTCTCCATAAACCCTCTGTGGCCCTCAGAGTTTAAATTAAAGTGAATTGGTGGACCTAAATAAAACCAAACAGCTGACTTCTGAAGGTGGTTAATTCAACTAATTTTGTTTGAAGGTATCAGAGTAAAGGAGACTGGAGTGAAAAGCCTGGAAAACCTTTCCTTTTTTCTTTTAAAATTATATTGAAAAGCATGTCAAATTTTCCTCCCATTTCACATTCATAAGCTAATCTGTGTTGGAGTTTTACATCATATTCTATTTAGAAACACTGAGGTTTTTTTTTATCATAATATCAAAATTTTTTTCCAAGCAGCTGTGTTTATTTGGCACTAGTGACTTTATTTATTTTGACAGGAGATGGGGGTTAGTGTGAGACAACATGTGGAGAAGGTCCAAAGGCCAAGACTCAAACCTGAGACGTTATCACTGATAACGTCTTTTTAAGATATATCAGTAATGGGGCTATTTATCCATTTAGTGCTTATGAGATAATAAAAAGATCAAAATCTGGTTGAAGCTGATGATAAATACATAAAAACTAACTTACATTAATATAGGAATTTCTATGTGTGTTTGTCAGTTAATCTTCTGCAAGATATCCTGCTTTTCTTTTGTTTTTATCATGTCGTCCTGTAAGGTTCTGCAGTATTTGTTGGCCATTCTGTCTTAAAGGTAGAAACACATCCTGGTTTTCTTGCTACACCTGTAGATTTTTTTCCCCTTTGAGGCAGATTTAGTGAGCTTTCACACAGGAACTGCCTGGTTTGATACAGTCAAGGGCAAATAGATGACAAATGTGTTTAAATGTCTGATGGATGGACAGGGCAGGAAGGCATATGCTTTGAGTTATTTAGATGAAACTGAAAAATATGTTGCAGCACAACTCAGAGCCATCTGCTCTGAGATGAAATGAAGACCCTCCTGAATTCAACGTTGATCCTATTAAGCAGTTGGGTGAACGCCCGCAGGTACTGCAACACTTAACTTGGTCATAAAAAAGCATCTATCTGTCATGACTCAATTAGTCAAATACTAATTATATCACCTGAGCAACTCTGCGTAACGTGGGCACGCCTGAGCGCTCAGATGTGTGTTGACATGTTGTACGTGCATCAAGAAGTCACGGCCAGCGGGGGTGAGATATCTGGCAGGTGGTGTTGCGGTTAACGCAGCGTCTACTCTGCAGTGTCCCCTATCTTTTCTTTTTAACCTGCGCTATCTGATCTCGCTGAGCGCCACAGCTGATTAGGCTGGCCTTCGTGTATCAGGTGAACTACGGGGCCAATCTGTTTAGACACACCTATCCTTTGATTTAGACACCTTCTATTGTGTGTCAGCTGAAAGACAACAGGTCACAGAGTTCACCTGTTGACAGACTATACTGCACACAGCTAATGATCTTAATGAAATTTTGCTATTTTTCTAGCAAATATTTTAAGTATAAATAGACCTACTGTTTCTGTCTAAGAAATTAAAGGCTGATTAAGAAGTCGGATCTCATATAAGGATTCTGTAACATAGATAAATGGTTGAAAGTAGGGAATAAAGTCTTGAAATTAAGCCCTAATTAATTTTTCCATGGCCATCCGACTTGAGAGTAAAATTCCAAACTTTTCCAGACTGCCTAAGAATGTTTTAAAATTAGTACTTTCAAAGCTGAAGCCAAAATTTAACAGCAACTGCTGTTTTTATTTGACATTAGGCATAAACCAAGCGACCAATCCTTTCTCTCCACATTGCCGCTTTGTTTACACAGTTCCTGAAGACTTCATCGTCTTGGGATCCATTGCAGATCGGTAATGTCACTGCGCTCCAAACACAATATGAAGTGGCAAAGACAAACACTTGCCCCAAATGTTCCATGCCTTATCTAGTTCTTAGCTGTGATTACTCCAAAGTGAGGATGATACAGTGTCACGCTGATCCAAACAGAATAAATTCCTGCCCACCGTCTCTGCCGGAATGAATATAAACATAGAATGCTTGTTCTGTGCTTCAGAAAAGCCCCCCCAACTTAAAAAAAAAAACTCTTGTGACCTGGTTCGCAGTGCCTCATCTAAAACCTGCCATGATCTCTGAGTTTTGGCAGATGGGTAGAGGTCATGGGTGTCTGAGCTGAAGAGAGGCAGGGGTGAATGTAAACAAGAGGAGACAGAAAAATGTGAAAAGAGAAGTCTGCTGATTGGAGCTGTTCAAAGTCTTCCACTTGCTGCTGGTTTGTTTAGACAACATGATGATGTAACACAAAAGCAGCAATAAAACAAAAATTAAGACCTTGCATCTGATAACCTTTGTGATGGACTACCCACCCATTTCTAATCGCTTTACAGGGTGTTTCTTAAGAGCAATTAGTCAGAATACGCCAAATTACTTTGCATTTAGAAGCACCTGAGTGAGATTATGTTTAGATAAGGCATGTTACTTATTTTTGCATACTGTATATACCCTCTCCTACTTGATTTGGAAAATACTATTTGATCTGTAAAATGACAAATATTCCCACTGGGACTAAATTGAATTTAAGAAATCCAAAGCATAATTTACAGAGGCTGAAAACTGAACATTTTTAACTAATTCTGCCTAAAAAGAATCAGTTACAAAACATCTTCTGCTAATACATCTACAAAGACGTCTTACAATGATCCTCCATGGAGATCTCCTGCAGGTTTTGCACTTCACCCTGGAACAGTGGTTCTTCGTCTTCCACAGATAGAGACCCAGAATCACGGTAGCTGCTGGAGAAGGGAGTCCTCTTGGCTGGCTGAGTGTTTTGGTAGAGAGGCCGTGTAGCAACGGAGGTCAGGAGCAAGAAACACGTGGCCAGAACATCCCATAACTTCATCTTAGACTCAGTTCCAATGATGAAAGCTGCAAAAATAAACATAGACCACAGAACACTGGTGTAAGTTATCTAAAATGTAAGTTAACTAAAATGATGAGGTGAAGCAAATCTTTAAATATCTACGTTCTCTGAGAAAATCAACCCACATTTTTCTAATGGGGATAAGAAAAATCAACATATTAATATCAGTGCTGTTGTGATAATCAGTGCATCATCGTGTCAAATGAGTATGATCTCAAATTATGTCTCTGGTGAGCGAAGAAGATAAAAAGCTCACCATAAAGATGTACAAGAGCAGACAGACAGCCTATTTTCACAAAACAAAATCATTCTGAAGAGTATTCAATTTGAGTCTTTTACAGTTAACTAGTTTTATTCAAGTACACATTTGCACATGGAAGGTTTAGAGTTTAGAGATTTCCCTGAAATGACTTAGACTTAACCAACTTTAATTAAATGACAAAAGTTGTCTAAGTCTAAATGGAAAAATTCCCCTGTTATTCTAAGTTGGAGTCTCCAGCAGATGTTTCAATGCTGAATAATGCGAAATATCCCTTCAACCATATTTTAGCTGAAAAAACATGTTTAAAAATGTATATCTTCAGTGGTTGTGTAATTTGTTTGATTGGCTGAAAGAAAAATGGTAAAAGTAAGGCTTACTTAGCATGACGTCATCAACCCAAACAACATTTCATTAATATGTAGACATTGATAGACGTCTCCATGTGGATTACTTTTCGCCTCTCACATTTTACCCTTGTTTTCACATTATTTAGCCAGAGGGCTGTAGAGCATTTGATTTATTTTTCTCAGGATTGTAAGACTTGTGATGAGAAAAACACGAAAGTTGCACCGATCCAAATCCTGGATCAGATATCGCCTCCAATATTGACTAATTAGCTGGTTTGGATATCAGATATCAGAGACCCAATCCAGTGCACTTTGCATGGAGCTGTTTTTTTTTTTTTTTGCTGCTTATTTGTTAACAAATAATATAAAGTACATTTACTGTTAATTTTTTTAACCTTTTTTTTTTTAACAATGCTTATATCAACGCTAAAGCCTTCCATGGCAAGATATATATGATTCATTCATTCAACAGTTGAATTGGTATTGAATATTGGCCAATATGCTCAGCCCAGGTATCGGATTAGATCGGAAAACACTGGATCGGTGCATCCCTAGAAAATACTCTGTCCAGCAATATTTTATTTTAGTATCATGCATACAGCTAATACTAAAGTCAGATTTCTTTAGCTGGGTGTATATCTTAACCCGAGGCCATAATGACTGGTGTGGCTTTCTAAGCAAACGTTTACATGCCACCTAATTAGATTAGCTTTGAAACATTTTGCTCCAGTTCTGCTAGTCTAACAGCAGCGATGTTATAGTCAAACTTAGTAGCCAGCTCTTCCTAACACTATTGAAGTCATTAGCAATGACAGGACAACTTAACAGTAGTTATTTAAAAAAAGATGTATATTTCACACATGGAAATAGTCTAAAAAGATTTAATGTACGTTTAGAAACATCTAAATGCCAATTTTAGAATGATTTTTAAAGTTTTATTCTATTTTACCATGGCTTTTATATGTACATCTGACTGGTTTATGTTTGGCATGGTAGGACAAACCAGGGAAGCAAAGGTGTCTTCATAAGTGGTATAATATTCACCAATGGGGGACTGATTAATATTTACCGTAATAAAATATACACAAATGAGTTCATTGAGGTTATCGTTTAAATCCTTAAAGTTTTTATCAGTGGAATTGGCTAAAGGGGGTGGTGCTGTTACTCAGACAGTTGTGCGCAAATATGTGCATATATGCGCGCAAGTATCCAGGCGCTTTGGATGAAATGCTTTTTTTTTTCTCCAATGGTTCCAGATGAAGCGCTTAGGGTGTGCCTTACAAACACACAAAAGCACACATGCGACTGGTAGGTCGGTAAGCACGCACGGTAAGCGTTTTGGCAAAGATACCCTAAATAATGGTGTGAGCTGGCCAGATGGCGATCCCCGGAGCTTACATGACTCCGTCTAATGGCATGTTAAGTCTGCAGTAAACCTAAACAGCTCCATATAGATAAATACTAGGCTTACACTCAGCGTCTGAATGCGTAATTCCTTCTTTTATTTTATTTTTTTTATTTTAGAGGAAAAACACAGCCTACCACAACCAAACTACTAATTGCATTGTGCAGTGCGCATTTTCAGAGTCTGAAACTAGAAGGAATTAAAGAGACTGACCTACCTTAAATATGGCCCATGCAGACCTAAAATTATCTCAGTGGTTTATAGTAAAATCCAAACAGAAAGCGTAACTCCAAGAGTGTCCCCAGTTGACTTAACTGTGTAAATCATGTCAGAATCTCCAAATGGAGATTTATTTTAAACCAGTATAAGTCCAAATGGCGCAGGAAAGGTTTGCGCCAGATATGTTGTCTGTATTCCAGCGTAGGGCTCCGAACGAACCATGCGTCTCTGAAGACGGTGGACCAAAGTGTCTCTGCAGGTCGCGGAGTACAGTTGCAGTCGCTGATTAATTGGATGCTACGTTTCCACGCTGGAAATCCGAGAGAGCTCCACCATCTCCAACCGAGAAAAGTCCAATGAAGACATCAGCGTCTCCAACAAGTGAGAAAAGCGCCGGAGGATGTTTTTTTAACGCTCGTTTGCCTCCTGGTAAAATAGTTCAATCGCACCTTTTCCAGAATCTCCAATATTTCTTACCCATCTCGCCATAGTAAACAAAACATATTCTGATAAATATTGTCATATTTTTTTCTCCAAGTCAGTCTGTGTTTACGCAGAGCTCTCCACACGCATCGTCCTCATGTTGGACTGAAGCTGGGCATATGTCTGCGCACACCATCGCGCCAGCCGCAGAGGGGCTGTTTGGAAAGATTTATAGTTCAGGACGCTCTGACGTTTGGGTAGTTGGGGGGGGGGGGGTTAGTTGGTGTCCGCCCCCTCTTTTATAGACCCATGTGAGCGCAAACAGTGAGTAACAGAGGTCCGCATATCTCTCCCAACCACCTCTGGAGCCTTGTTTGGAGGAGCGAAGTTTTCAGATGTCTTGGGGATTATGTCACACATCCTGATGTCCTCGGATTAGATTTCAGTATGCGGAATGCGATTTGGAGATGTTCTGTTGCGGTGCATGTTTCCAACCTGATCTCCGCGCTCCGTGCGCCTGCAGTGTCAGGTTCCGTCTCATGGCTGCACACATCCCACATGCAGGAGAGCCACTTCACCTGCTATTTACCAGGAACATATTGGCGCAGATGCGAGGGGGAGCTTTTAAGGAACTTTTTTTTTTATCTTAAGCATGCAGACCTTTTGTGTTTATTGCACTGCAAACTCAGAAAAGTTTTTTCAGCGCATGTGGTGAGGATGTGAGCGGGTTCTGGTGTGAGGTCAAACTGAGAGAACCTGGAAAAGCTGCACCATCTTTCTCTGATTTTAAAGCCGCTTGCTTTACAGGGGCGCCTATGTTTTGAACGAGAGGGTTAGATGCTTCTAATCTTAGGTAGGCACAGAAAATCCAAAAGCTACTAGAGGGTTTTTATTTTTTTGTTCCTGGGTATAGCCTACTGAAAATATAGATGCAACTGAAAAGATTATGTCCCCATTTTTTTAAAGTAGCTATTAACTAAATACCACTATGCAAATTAACTGTTCTGATGTTAGAAATAAAAATTTTGCCAGATGTATAAATATTTTTCTGTATAACAATCCGCCTTATTATTAACTAAGGTATTTAATCCTACTATTATTTTATGTTTGGGCCGGGAGGCATTTGAAAGATATAATACATTGTTATAGGTGTTCTGATGTAATTTTAGCGAAAGGATCAAATTAATCAAAAACATAATGTGTACAGTTAAGGAACAGTTGTATTAACCATACATCTAAACAGTTTTATGGAGCCCCCGGGAACTTGGGGCCCTAGGCAACTGCCTATTGCCTAATGGTAAACCCCCCCCCCCTTGCCCTAAAGGTGCCATCATGCAAAAACTGTATACACTCAATACCGAGCAGCAGATTTTAATTTTTTATATATATATATATATATACTTTAATAATCCCAGAGGGAAAATAACTTCTCTGCATTTAACCCATCCCCTTGTGGAGCAGTGGGCTGCCATTGTGCGGCACCCGGGGAGCAGTGTGGGGTTAAGGGTCTTGCTCAGGAGCCAGAGTGGCAGTCTGTGGGAGTGGGGAATCAAACTCACAACATCAGGATTCAAAGCCCTATGCTCTAAACCCTAGGCCGCCACTCCCCCTAAGTTTTGCAGGGGGGGCACTGCCCTCCTTGTTCTCCCCGTAGTACCGCCTCTGTTGCTTACTTATCTCCTGCAAATGTGAATTACACAAGTTACTTAGGCTTTTAAGAATTAAACTTATTTGTGTTTCTGAGCTAGGAGACCGGATCCAACCACAACTCAACACTTGTGTGTCCACAAAAAATGCTCTGTTTTAATTTTTATATTCAAAACACTGACTGAAAAAAAAAAGGAGAGCTGTTGAATAAAAGGCTGGAAATCCTTGCCCTGACACCCTAAATCCACGCTGGCTTACCTGTTACTCAGCAGCATCAAAGCTCAGATTTGTTTGCTCACAATCCTAAAACGTCTTGTTTATACATGTTTTTCTTTCAGGCGCTTTCGCTGGGCCCTGCCCATCCCTACTGCGTCTACGTAGCAGTCTGCCTAATCTACATCGTATGGATTCCTACCTGTCAAGTTCTCACATGGTTTTATTGTCTTTTATTAACAGCTTCTTGTTCATTTTCAGTTTCAGTACCCTCAACATTTATATAATTTTAATGGTGAATCAGCCCATACTAATAAATCATTTAACATTTCTTAATAGTTTTCACGGAGTATTATGTTATTAATGAATGTAAGCCTAGATTTAATAATCAAAGGGAGTCCTGTTGCCTTTTCCTGTTGGCAAAACCTACTTTTTCTTTATTGAAGGTTTTTATTATGCATTTGCTAATTCATTGTTTTTGTCTTCTTGAGTAATACTTCTTAAGCCTCCTTTATACATGAACAATATAGTCATAAAAGACTTTGACAATGGATTATTGAAAAACAGGAAGTGCATTTACACTTTCTATTCAAGTGAAAACGCCTAATGCTTCCGATTCTTACCTTTTTAGAGTCACTCAACACTGAAACTGAAGTGAATAGAAAATCTGTCTGTCTGTCTGTCTGTCTGTCTGTCTGTCTGTCTGTCTGTCTGTCTGTCTGTCTGTCTGTCTGTCTTGTTTGGCTGCAGTGAAACATTTCTCTTCCCCTGCCAGTGCGGTTTGGATCTGCACTACCCCAAACAAGAGATGAATGAAAGTAATTCAGCTTTTAACACTGTATAAAAAAAACACACACGGGGAAATTTTGTGGTAACTGACATTCAGATAAATAAGACAGCAGAGAATTAACAGTAGGAATTTTCTAAAGGATTCAGAGCAGCCAAATCCAGTAACAAGTACAGCCTTACACAGTTATATACCTTTAAAATACAAAGTGCCTTTAAATAGATTTTTTTTTTTATAAATCCCATTTTATAATGTGCCATTTATAAAGAATCATTTTTAGAACTACAAAGGGTGACAATATTCAAACAAAAAAACAAGGAAATTAAAAATATAAAACAAAAGAGTGTTACTGTGTATTTTAAAACCATTACTGAAAGATTGATGGCACAAAACTACAATTGAAGACATTAAAGAGGTACAAAGAAAGTAAAAGCTCAGTTTCAGTTACCTTTGTTTTAATTCACCACATTTAAGCTTTCCTCCCATTTACGGACTCTTAATGATTAGATCAAAAAGCCGGAATAACATAAAAACAAAAACACAATTACTGTGAAAAATTGCTGGAAAGTTGTAAACACTAAAAAAAAGCTGGGATACAGAGATGAACATCTGTATAGTAGCCACAATTATTTTGTTGGAAAAAGTATTATTAAAAAAGAATGAACGAATAAATCTAAACTACTCAAAGCAACTGTAAATAACAATTACAAAAACAACAAAAGAAATACTGATTTGTTCCATAGGCAGCAAAAAGCTTTTATCAACTCAAATCAACTATCAAAAATAATTTTGCTCCAATTATATATATAAAAAAAAACAACAATAAAAAGTAAAACAAAACACACTTTGGTAAGAAATTTACTTTAAAACAAATTACACACTTTTCAAGCAGTTGAAATTCCGGAATGACAATTACATAGTGAAAAAAAAAAATGTCATTCACCAAATTATTTTCAAAACACTGTAAGAAATGTGTTAACGTTTTGTTAGAGGAACAATGAAAAAAAATAATAATAATGTGCTGGCAGCAAAAATTCCAGAAAAGGAAATGCAAGTAAGAAAAAACAGACATTTTAAAATATAAAATTACTTTAGAAATGCAGCAACAACCCCTTGAATACAATCGATATTCTTTTATTATTTTAAATTCACAAATTGAGACTCGAAAGAAATAAAAGTGATTTCACTATGAAGTTGATTGTAATTTCATATGTGGTTATATTACTACTTGAATGAGAAGAGGGTGCAACAAATTTCACAGAAGCTCTTTTTATCGTAGCGTTTGGGACTTTGTGTTTGACAGAGACAGGCAGACAGGCGCTGTATTGTTGATAATATCTGCAGACGCATCTGCAGAAAAAGTCCCATGTAGCCCTCCTCTGCCTCATTCAGACTGAACCCTGGAGATAATGGCAACCAAAAATAGACTCATCTTCGAGATCTTCTCTTTATGTGGGAGCGCAGCACACTCTGTGGGTGTCTGGCATCCCATGAGCTGAAAGACTTTACTGATTACAATTTGAATGAATTAGGAGGAGAAACATGAGTAAGACGGACGAATCATCACCACATCGAGTCTGATGAAGAGGCTCGTCACTCCATCTGAAAAGCTCTCTTTTTCCTGTCCCGCTGATGGGAGAACCACCCTAATTCTTGAATTTGTTCCCTTCACTAAGCTCTGTCAGGCCCTCAGATGGAAACATCAAGGAGTTCCCACAGAGATTCTGTGAGCATTTAACAATGCTCCCATAAACCATCCGCATCACTGCATCTGGTTCTGTTTACCATTAGGCTGTAAAAAGATAATCTGAAACAAATGCTCAACATCACTGATTGATTTGATTTTCCCAACAACCTCTTGTCATCTTTATGTAGACCCTACACAGACTTATAGCGACAATATTTTTATTTCCAAAATTGTCTTTTTGGATTTGAAAACGCAATGAAAAACAGCCGTAGTCTTATGCCTCTTTAATGGCTCATTGCTTCATGATGCATGTGATAGAAGTTGAGTATTTTGGATTTATGGTTCAATCTAGTTTTATTTGTTTTGGAGGATAAACAGTTACAACACAAGATTAATGTCTGCATGCAGTAAATTCAACTGACTGGAATACTTTTGTCAAAGTCAACCTGATGAAATCCTAAAACCCTCCAATGCTCAAGTTACCACCTAATGTGGAGGATTTTTAGGTGATTCTGATCCATCCACTGTCTCTAAGGCTTTAGAATGATCATTATAATAAAAATGGTTTATACTTTTCTCCTGCAGTTTGAAAAGAAAAAGAAACTAGTGACACAGGTATCTGCATTGCCTGAAATGTCTTTGTTTATTCTATATTTGCAAATCTTTTATTAAACAGCCTTGTCAGCATCATACTCTTCTTTTTAAATTACAGAATTTTATATGAAATGTTTGATGCTATGCTACAGAGAATTATAGTTATCATGTAAACAATCTGCAGAATAATTCAGATTCAAAACATAATCTAAAGGACAAATTATTTGTATTTTACTCTCAAGATTTTTTATAATTGCTTTTTAGGCTCTATGGCCTTCAGGAAATGTGATTAGAGAGAAGAGGAATAGAAGTAGCACAATTAGGATTTTTTCATTCACTAAATTATAGTTATAATATCAGCTGGTGTTTATTCTTATTCACACGTTTAA